TGCTGGCAATACTGGATCTCCGCCTCAGAAAAATGAAAAAGAACTCTTACCTTACACTATACACAAAAACTAACTCAAAATGGATCAAAGACCTAAATGTTAGACCTGAAGCCATAAAACTCCTGGAAGACAGCATAGGGAGACCCAATCCCAAAATGGGCAAAGAAACATTAGAAAAACCTTCACCAAAGAGGATATCAAAGAAGTGGTCAAACGTATGAAAAGTTGTTCTCTATCATGAGCCATTAGAGAGATGCATATCAGAGCTACAATGAGATACCATCATATCCACTCTAAAAATGGCATTGATAAAGAAATAGATTACAACAAATATTGGCAAAAATAAGGGAAATTTGGAACCCTTATTCATTGCTAGTTGTTCTTGTTATTGTTGTTAACTACCATCAAGTTGACCTGACTCATAGTGACCTCTCCTTGGGTTTCCAAGGCAGTATCACTACAGAAGTAGATTGCCCGACTTTTCTTTCAAGGAGTGGCTTGTGGGTTTGAACCGCTAGGTTTCTGGTTAGCAGTCTATAAAATAGTACAACTACTAATGAAAATGGTAAGGCACCTGTCAGATATCTGGAAATAGAACTACCCTATGATCCAGCAGTCCCACTCCTGAATATATACTCTAAACCTAAAAATAATGACACAAACATATATACTCCTAAGTTCACTGCTGCTTTATTCATAATAGCACAAATGAAAACAATTGAAGTCCCCATGAGTAGATAAGCAAATTGTGGTACGTATATGCAATGGAATACTCTGCAACCATTAAAAAAAAGATGAGTCAACGAACATACCTGGAGGGTATAATGTTAAGTGAAGTAAGTCGATCATGAAAGGACAAATATTTTATGATCCCTCTTTTATTACAAGATAAGAATATATAGAGGGAGAGGAGATGAGGAGGTGAAAGTATGCTTTAGATCATAGAGATTTATGTTCTCTGGTGATGATTAAAGGGGCCTAGCACAACCAATGTAAAAATGACTGGTTAAGGATATATGGATGGGCATAGGCATATTGATACAAGGCTAGTACATATTGATACAGGTGTGTACGTAGGTGAAAGCAGATAGAGATATCTATCAGCTCATGTTAATAAAAATATGTGAGTACAGGCACATATATTTGTTTAATACACAAACACAGATAGTCCTCGGATATAACCAAACACCGTCCAACACTGGTTTTCTGGCTTTGAAAGCTTTGGACCATAGTCTCACGGAAAATTCAGTCAATTGGCATAATATACATCACAGAAATTGTAATCTGTACCCTAGTGAAGCATCTGGGATCTTGAAAGCTAGCAAGTAGTCACCCTAACACAACTATAGATCTCTACTCACCAAGAGCAAAACTGTAAGAAGGTAACTAAAGCTCAGAAATGAAACAAGTGTACATGAGCCACAACCTCATTTACTCTAAGACCAGAAGAACTAGATGGTGCCCAGCTAGTACCACTGACCATACTGATCAGGGTCACCAAGCACAGAGTACCCAGTAAGCAACGTAAACGTGATCTTACTTACTTGCATTTACTTACTAATTTGTAGTAAATAATTTCACATGAAAACCAGTTTCTCAAGTACACCCATGCTTACCTTGCTTATTGGCTAATCTGACATTGAAGATCACAATAGATGATACCAGATAGAATGAGAGAGAAATGTGGAGCAAAAGTCAAACTCTATTAAAAAAAAAAAAAACAAACCTTGAACAGTAAAGAACAGAGGATTCCCTCAGACTATTGCCTGAGACACTCTTTAAACCTGCAATCAAACCTATCCCCTAAGATCACCTTTTATTGAGATAGCACAGTGGCCCACAAAATAAAGGCTGTTACCCATAAGATTTCTTGAAAACCATCAGTATGAGACCAAAGGTCAATAATTACTCAAAAGCAAAGATGAGAAAATAGGAGTGCAGGGAAACTAGAGTACTAGAAATGTAACAAACAGGACACAAGTAAAGAAAATGTTGGCACATTGTAACAAATGTAACTAATGTCAGTGAATAATAGATTCAGTTTTTGTCAAATGGGAACCTAATTTACTGCATAAACTTTCACCAAAAACTCAATGAAATACATTTACAAAGAACAGGAAGGGGAAGCCAATATCATATTCTAGAATATACATTCCTTGAAACCGATAATGGCCAGATTTCATGTCACCTATTTTGTCCTGTTGCAGAAGGGACCATTCATTTGAAAAGAATATCATACTTGGTAAAGTAGAAAGTCTACAAAGGGGAGGACCCTCACTGAGATGGATTGACATAGTGGCTGCAATGATGAGCTCAAGCAAAGCAAGGATTGTGAGGATGGTATAGAGTAGGGCAGTGTTTCATTCTTTTGCACCCAGGGTTGCTGTGGGTCAGAGCTGACTCAGAGACATCTAACAGCAACAACAGAATATTAGAACCAGAGATTATCCTGAACACCTTAAAAGAAGGAGCTTTAAGGGACAATGAGGAGAATCCTTCTTCATACAGTTGAAGATGAACTCATGAAAGTCATTATCATGAAAGTATAAAAGAATTTAAATAATTTTGAAATGAAATATCATTTAATTATAAAAAGAACCCAACATTTTTGGTAGACACTGGTCAATATGATGTCATAGCCAAAGAGCAGAATATAGGTCTAGAAATTATCTGGAAAGATTTTAGAAACAAAAAACAAAAGCAAGTTGTGTTTTGTTTTGTTTTGATAAAAAAATAGGATAGAAGCTTAATAACAGAAGCCTTATAATATTAAGGGAAAACTGATGGTCTTCCATGAAGATTACAGCCAAGATGATTATTGACTGGACAGCTGTCAGCACTCAATAACAATAACATATGTGTGTTATACATATATATTCAAACAGAAATCAAATATATTTGATAGGGCAGAAAATACATTTTATATTTCATTTATCTTGGCCAATGGTCACCCCCTTCCCTTTAAGCCATTTCCTACAGTGCTGATGAACAGAGTTGTACTGCTAATTCAGAGAATAGGTCAAAGTCATGGGTGAAATATCACTACCCTTTAGGAGCAACTGATTTTCAAGTATTTATTTGTAACGGCCTGTTTGCTTGTATTCTTTTTCCACTATTAGTATTGCAAGCAGTTGGAAATCCCATGATTTTATGATAGTATTAACTTCATTTATTAGGAAACGCAAACAGTCTGGCTGGGATTGGGGAATGGGAAGTAATGGGTGTTGGGGGAAAATGTATCCGTTATCTATTAAGACAATAATGCCACATATCAATTGTAAAATCTTAGTGGCATGAGACAATAAAAACTTATTTAATGCACGTATTTATGGAGTGAAGTTGGCTGATCTCACATGGGCTGATACATTTTTCTGCCACCAACTACAGATTAATTTAGCACCCCTTCTGATCTTTGATGAGTTCACTTAATATGTCTGGATGGTGGCTGATCTAGGTGTTGGATAATCTTGTATGGCCTTGGCAGTGATCATTGATATGACTCATCTTCATTCAGATCTCATCCTTCAGCAGGCTAGCCTGATCGTGTTCACGTGGGTATAGAAGCAGAGCAAAAGAAGCACCCAGTGCCTTAACTCTTTTCAGACTTCTGCTTGAGTCCATTGCTAAGAGTCCATTGGCCAAACAGGTCACATGGGATCAGTCCAACAATCAGAATAGGAAGATTGGATAAAATTACATGGTAAATAGTAAAGTTACAGGGAGGAATGAAGAATTAGGGATATGAGCACAGTTAATCTATAACAACACCATTTCCCTGGGGGAGGAATGGAAAGAGAGTGTGGAGGGATTGTCATTCTGGTTTTCAATATTATAAACTTTATATTTGGCTTGGGAGCTCTGGTAGCATAGAGGCTAAGGCACTTGACTGCTAACCAGAAGGCTGGCGGTTCAAACCCACCAGCCACTCCTCGGAAGGAAGGTTGGGCAATCCTACTTCCGTAGTGATACTGCCTCGGAAACCCAAGGAGGGGTCGCTATGAGTCGGGCCGACTCGACGGCATATAACAACAACAACAACAACAACATATTTGGCTTATCCAAGCTAATCAACTAACAATAGCAATAAGAGACCTCGCAGTCAGGTTAATTTACTGATCAAGTTTGTTAGGCCAATACAAGTTTCTCTTTTAATTCATTTTTAAATATACTGGTGGCAATAACAAGTAGCAAATTTTCCAAACCAGGAGAGCTTGAAAGGACCTGTCAGTTGTCAAAGGGTAAATTTTTGCCCTGATATGTCTTTAAAATGGTCATTTTGCAATATTATTGTTGAAAGAAGAGTTTTGGTCACTTCCTCTTGGGAAGTAAATTTGCGTAAGTCACCCAGGACTACTACATTCCCCACAGTACACAATCCGAGAGTTACAACCACATCCTATACATAATACAGGTTTACTTAATAGTCTAATGATAGCTCTTCCTAGAATTCTAACCAGATTTTTACTGGGAAAATGGAGTAAAAGTGGTTGGGTTGATGATTAACTTCTAGCCATTCTGAAATTGCAGAGCATTAATGAGAAAACAAAGGTAATTTGATTATGCTTAGCCAAATTTTTAGAAAGAAACTCCTAAGCATCTCTTTCCAAAAGAGAATCCTGCTATTTCTACAGTAAAAACACAGTTACTTGGAGAGGGAAATATTTGTCCACATGAAAATAGCAGTTAGGAATATGTTTCAAATATAACTGTAAAGAGACGGTGCTTGCCTCTTTACTTCTAAGGCAAGTTCACATTCCACTTCATTTGATTATATTTTCAACAATATTTGTTATATTCTTTTATGGTCTGCCAGTGTGTTTTTGAAGCCCAGTTAGTTAGAACAGTGGCCAAGAGAGTTTAGACTAAAAGGGGGCCAACTATCTCTCCAGAAGCAAGATGATACTTCAAAAGATATGCATTACAAAGCACTACTGTGACTTAAACCATCATTTGTTTTTAAGGGGACTTGCTAATGTGGAATTGGTTTCTTATCTTCACAGCCCCTAGTGAGCCTTTACTGTGCAAATTTGCTGATGGAGGACAAAAGAAGAGACAGAATCAAAGCAAATATACCCAGAATGGGAGGCCTTGGCCCAGGGAAGGAGAGGTGAGTCCTGATTGACTTTGCTCAGAAATTTGGAGGCAGACACCCCTTGGAAGGGTGATAAGGTTGATTTTGGAGCCATGATGAAATCGAGTCCTATTGAAAAGCAAATGGCTTTAAAGGGAGAAAATGAGCATGCCTATATAAATATGTTCAAAATAAAATGAAATCTAAGAGGATTTTCTCTCACTCACTGACATTGAGTTGAATCCAACTCATAGTGACCCTTCCCTGGGTTTTTGAGGTGGTATCGCTACAGAAGTAGATTGTCCAGTCTTCCTTCTGAGGAGTGGCTGGTGGGTTTGAACTGCCCACCTTCTGGTTTGCAGTCAAATGCCTTAGGCACTACACCATTCTGTTTTGGTTACCTGGGCAGTAAGTTTGTTTGTTTGTTTGTTTGTTTATTCATTCATTCATTTATTCATTTATTTATTTAGTGCTGCTCTGACAGGAATATACCACAAATGGCTAGGCTTGAACAAATGGGAGTTTGTCTTACATTCTGGAGGCTGTAAGTCCGAGTTCCAGGTACCAGGCTCTAGGGGCTGGGTAAAAGCCCCTAAACTTTGGGCTTCAGCTCTGCCTCTTCTCCTGGCCCACTGAAGCTAGATGCATCTCTTCATTCAGGCAGCTGCTAGTTGCTGAGGCTGACAAACTTAAGGTCAACAAGTGAAAAGGCACTGTTCTAATGTTACCAAACCACAAGGCAGGCCATTAATTCAAGTGCATAGAAAGTCCCAAGATCAGCTCAGCAACATGGCAGGCTGCTGAAGAGTGATGCAGCTACATGCAGTGTTCAATCATGCCATGGGATAGAGACCATTCCCAAAGGTGCTTCTTATATACGGGAAGCAGACCACATCCCTAAAGCAGCTACTCAGCTGCTTGTGGTAGATCTCACCATGGAGTTAATTGCCAGTCTCATCATGGGAAATAACTGCCACCAGCTGCCCAGCCACTCAACCAGGCCCAGCCAAGTTGACATACAAATTTAACTACCACAATTCTACCCCTTGTCAATTTGGCACCTGTACAGATCTTCATTGGGTGGCATCTGTATAGATCTCCTTCACTAGATGGCTTCAGACCCCTAGTTCCTCTGAGTGGCAACCTCACCCCCTTGGCCTGGTGGGCCCCATCCATCTATTCCTTGGGCATGGCAGCCCTACCCCTCACTCTTGAGCAGTGGCTGTGACTCCATCCCACTGGCCTGCATGTATGAGCAGCCCCACACTCCAGAACCAAGTTGGTGAAGGTCTGGCTCTTTGAAACATAGGGGACTGTGGTGGTTCCACCCCCAAAGGCCATGGTCATACCCTTGAGGCTGAAGCAGCTCTGTTTCTAGTTTCCTCAGTCTCTCCACTTCTGCCAATTAATGCCCAAGGGCAACCCACTCTGCCAGGAATCTTCCTGCCCAAAAGACATTTAGCTTTCTTGCTCTGTGGGCTGGCCAACCTGCTACTCCATCTCATGCCGATCTCTTCTACCAATTAATGCCCGAAGGCAACTTACTCTACCAGGAAGCCAACTACCCAAAGGCATTAGGCTTTCTCTTCTGTGGGCTGGTAATGCTGTCTTTATCTCATGCTGGTCTTTAAGCTCTGCTACTGCCATGTCTCATGCTGGTCACTGGACTCTGCTTTTGCTGTCTCTCATGCCACTCTCTTGGCTCTACTGCTGCCATTTCTCATACTGTATGCCAAGGTCTCTCTGCCAGGGTCTCAGGTCAAGGATGTACTCCACTGCTATTTCCACATTTTAGGTATCTCTCAGAACAGCACCCCACTCTCCGATAACATACTCTGTTTTGGTTATCTCTGTGCTGCTCTAACAGAAATATACCGCAAATGGGATTATAGGATTTCAAAATAGGCCTCAGTTCTGCACTACAGCAAGTTTTCTGTCTTTAAGAAATCTTGAATCCAAAAGGCACTCACTGAAAGACTTACCTGCAAATAATTGATCTGTAATTCTGTAATGGTTATAAAATGAAGGTGTAATTACTTAAGAACACAGTTTCTGTGAAATCAACAGTGAGAGTTGAATGCATTGAAAAATACAAACTAAAATTTAGATCTGTTTCATTCTACCATTGAGGTGCTCTATCTACTTGCACATCTATGTGCATTTGTGCATGTGGCCATACATTCATAATATGTTGATTTAAGGTATATATATGGATGTTTATATGCTATGGCATTTTCTGTTGGTTAAGGAGAAAGAATAGTTAATACACATGGGGTTTTGCTTTCCACTTCAGGGTGAAGGAAAATCATTTAACAATTGCTTATCCATTTGTTCTTCTAACATAGAATAGTGAGAAAACAAGCTTATGGATCCAATGCCACTTGGGAATGGATTCCCTTTGGTTACTTCTTTATAGTAAGATGACAAGAAAAAAAGTGCCTTGGCTTCTATGAGGTCTTTTCATTCTTTGTGAAATGGAATGAAGTCATTTGAATGATTTGAATAAATCCCATTTGTACCAAGGCTTTAATTTCAACAAAGGAGTTTTATTTAGTATTCCTATTCAAAGCACCTACTTCATCCATTTATCATTTAAGAGACATCCTACTTAATGCAACATTTTATATTTCCAACCCTGAAAGAGCAGTTGCAATGAAATAAAGAAGGTTGGAATTTTTCTCAGCAAAGTCATTAGCCATTTTTCAATTTCTAAGACTACTGTCTGTTTTGAGTGTTTCCAGGCAGGCTCAGAACCTTTCTGAAAAGTTCGTAGCTATATTCAAGTACTATATAACCTATAACTCATGACCTTAAGACATGAAAAAGAGAATCATCATTGAGCATCTAAAGCTAATAAAAAAGGCAAGGATTTCAATATTGACCAACTTTAAAAAGGCAGTTTATGTTATGTTCAGAAAAGAAGAGGGGCTAAGTTATACATACATTTTTATCATGGTGTTTGCCCATCATTGGGCAGCCCCATTGCCCCTAGTGATGACTGATAGTGATCTTTACTACATTTGTCCCGTTCCAAGCATCCATTGTGTAGAAAGTCACATTTAATTTTTTTTCTTTCCTTTTTCTTTTTAAATTTGATTGAGTAAAATATGTACTGCTCAGAGATATCTCTGAATCACAGGCCATGTTTAGAAAGCCTCAAGACTAAGTTATGCAGCTTAGAACTAATGACTTGTCTTCTTAAGATCCTGCAATATTACACTGACACAATAGATGCCAATTGCAGCAAGACTCCTCACCTGAGCTTACATTTCTTGGAAAAGGAATCAATAAACATGAGGGAAGTATAGAGTTAGAGCTGCCGTTCTGCCACTGCGAAGAGAATCTAAGGGCTTTTGGTTCAGTGCTTGAAAAACACCATGTGTTCCATGGCATGAAAACATTATGGAATCAAGTTTAGGACCCACAAATTAAACATTTTGAAAGTATGTTTCTAATTTTTGCTTTCAAAACTTGCTTTGTAAGAGCTATAGATTTTCCTGTTGAGCTGTAAAAATCAAGATATCATAATTTATTTGTGATTGATAAGAATATATTCTAAATGTGTAGACATAGAAAGAAATCAGAAAAAGAAATGATATTCACTGAGAGTATATGTATTAGTCTTGCTTTGGGGATAAATATGTTGATTTGTTCACTCATTGTAGTCTTTTAAGTAGATACATCAAGAATGCTGAATAACTGTGCATGCCCATTATTATATATTTTTTCCTCTATTTTCACTTGTAGTATATTTGCTAGAGTAATGTAAAGAATATTAGCATAGTTGACAAAGCATGCTGTGATACAAATTAATCCCATACAGATATTATTTAAATCTTATCCACCAGTAAATTCTAACTACTGTACTTCCTTGATTCTAAGACTTTTTTTTTTTTTTTTAATTGGTGGTGGTGATTTTTTTCCTACACTTTTAAACTTCTGAAATAGATTCTTCTGTTATGTAGTAGTGGTTGAAGCATTTGGCTGCCAACCAGAGGTTGGCAGTTCAAACCCACCAGTCATGAGTCAGAATTGACTTAATGTAATGGCAGTGAGTTTGGTTTTTTTTTTTTTGGTTATATAAATCAATGTCATCTTATAGACAATTTTATTTGCTCCTACTAGTCACCTACAGACACTGTCTATATAAGATCCATCTATATTCTCTGGTTAAAATCTTTGACCGCACTCATTCACTCACTGCCAATGAGTTGATTCCTACTCATAGTGACCCCCACTGGGTTTCCAAGACTGTAAACCTGTACAAAAGCAGACTGCCTCATCTTTTTGCCACGGAGCAACTGGTGAGTTCAAACTACTGACCTTTTGGTTAGCAGCCAGATGCCTTAACTGCTATACCACCAGAGCTCCTTTTTGACCACGCTTTCATATGAGTTAAAACACTAATCAAAGTTAAGACTGTCGGTCAAATTTTTCAGAGAGTTTTTTTTTTTTTTTTATCCGCTTCTTTCATCCAGTGTCAAGATTAAGATATTCATCATTCCTTAGTGTCCTTAGCTGATGACTAGATTTGGTTCTCATTTGCCTTTTCACTAAAGATGTAGCTCTCTGACATCCTAGATGTATCAGGAGATCATCTTAAGTGTTTTTTGCTTCTTTCTTTGTTTTGGTATATAAAACAATGTGCACCTTTCATTTCTTGTCTTAGATAAGGTGAAAGGTTGGACTTTGATTCTGCTGCTTCAGAATTTGAGATAATAGCACAGAGTAAGGCTATAAAATTATTAACTAGTTTTTCAAGTGGCAACCCAAACTCTCTTCATCAGGAATAATCAAGAGATGGGGGCTCTGAAGCCTCTCCTTTCGGAGCTCTTACCATTTTATTTCCTAAAACAGTAGTTTTCAAACTCTAGTCTCTGTATTGCTTTATGTTCTTAAAAATTATTATCATTTATTAGTTTATTAAAATAAACAATGGTAAACCTATTACATTAACAAAAACATACATTATTATGAAAATTAGCTATATTTTCCAAACCAAAGATACATTTTTTGCAATCACTTTAATATGTACT